TCCTTGACAACTTCAATCTCTTCTCCATTGATAAGAATGCTGTTTATTGGTCCAGTGGTGAGGATTTTTGTTTTCTTTACATTGAGTTGTAATCCGCACGGAAGGCTGTGCTCTTTGATCTTCATCAGTAAATATTTTAAGTCCTCTTCACTTTCAGCAAGCAAGGTTGTATCATAGACTGAGAAAAGGCGGGTCACTGGTGCCCAATAGAGTTTCTTTTATTGAGCAGCAGTCTCCTACAAGCAGGATGGACTTGTCAGGGCTAACCAGCGGTCATCCCAATAGAGCCTCTCCACCAGAAGCAGCTCCTTGCTGGGTTCCATCCAGCTAGGGCGCAAACTTGGGTCCACATGACTGCAGAAGAAACATGGAGAAAGCTGCTCGAGGTACAGGACCTAGATAGACTCCCAGGAAGGAGCCACCTGCGAAGGGGGTGATAGTGGCCTAAGGAGCAAATCTGGCAGCCTCCAGATGAGAGCAAAATGATTCACCTGTGGCACCAGTGACAGGGTGGGAAGTTTATAGCTGACTTCCAGGAAGAAGCAGTTCTTTGAGTTTGGGAGCTCGCCAGAGGAGCCTGTCTTTGGGAAACGGGGAGTGGGCGGAATGGCTCTCACTGTGGGCCCACCCCGGCCCCTGGTGTGAGCAGGCTGGCTATGTCTTTGCCCCTAATTCCGCTCCGGGGTGACAGTCCATGCACGTGGTTGTAACACAGGAGCTTCGGACACACAGCAGAGATGCGGGGAGGGCTGCGCAATTTTTACAGCGTTTTTCGTTATTTTCTGTTATCCTAGAAAGGGTAAAGGTCGAGCGCATTTCCAGTGCCCTCGCAGCACTAGCGGATCACTTACCTCTCCGCACTACCAGCGTGGGAGGTTTTTCCCAGCGCAACTCGGCAGCGGCCAGGCGCCGAGCCCCATGGGAATTGTAGTCCTCCTGGGGGGGGGTGTCCGACAGGTGGGGACACAAAAGGTGTGTCTGGAAGGGGCAGGAAAGAGACTGACAGGAACCATGTGAAAGTGGGGGAGGACATTTACAAGAATTTAAAACCCCCATGCAGCAGGGGGTACTCTTGGTGTGGTGCTGTAGGATAAGCACTGGATAGCGAACCAGACTGCTCCTCCGAAAACCCCTGTACAGGATTGCGAAGAGTCAAAATCGTCAGCACTTAACAACAAAAACAACATTCAGCTGTGGGGAGGAGAACGCTCCTAGAGAGGTTTTTTAACGAGGGGGACAGGGTTGTGTTTAAAGTTAATAACCCCTTGACTTTATTACGGCAACCCTGATGACGTTTTAAGTAAAGCTTCGGTAATAATGAAAGTAGAAATTTCCTGGGGCCAAGTTCATATTACTTACGCCTTAACTTTCACTTCATCCCCTAACACACATTTCTATTGCTCACAGAAGAACTCAACTGAAGTTCTGGACATGCAAAGGAGGGTGAATTACTGTGTTTTACATTTTAGTGCACTTGACAGTTTACAAAGCTATGTTTACTGAATTGGTTCATCATATTAGAATCATAAACTAACGCTGTGAATTAGGCAGAAAAAAACTAAAGATGCAGGGAGTTTATTGAATCCACAGATGCCGAGGTTGGAGCATACCGAATTCTTCACTTGCTTTTCCAGTCCAAAGTTAGTAACTGGGAAGAGAAAGTTGGGAGGGGAGGGCTTGAGGACAGATGTAGGAGCATGGGAGGAGAGGACTTGCTATGAGAAGACTTTCTGGAAATGGCTGATGAGTAATCCTTATTAAATGGGATATAAGCAAAACCAAAAAATAGGCCTATGGATTGCAGTCATGGAATAGAATGGAACGGTAGATGAAACAGGTATAAAGACTGAATTGTTGGTGTTGTTAGGTGCCGTCCAGTCAGTTCAGAATCAACCTGACTCTAGATGCGCAACAGGACTAAACAACACCTGGCCCTCTGCCATCATCATAATTGCTACTATGCTTGAGCCCATTGATGTTGCTACTGTGCCAATCCATTTCGTTGGGAGGTCTCCCCTTTTTTGCTGTCCCTGCACTTTACCAAGCATGATGTCCTTCTCCAGGGACTGGTCCCTTCTGATAATATGTCTGAAGTTCGAAAAATGAAGTCTAACCATCTTGGATTCTAAGAAGCATTTTGGTTATACTTCTAACAGAGATTTCTTTGTTTTTCTGACTTTTAATATTTATCTCCATCAATTTTTCTACTGTCTTCCTTATTCATTGTCCAGTTTACAGATGCATATTAGTCTATTGAAAATACACTGGCTTTTGTCAAGTATACTTTAGTCCTCATACTGATATATTTGCTCTTGAGCACTTGAAAGAGGTCTTGTGCAGTAGATTTGTCTAATGCAATACATTGTTTGATTTCTTTACTGCAGCTTCCATGAGCATTGATAGTGGATACAAGCAAAATGAAGTCTTTGACAACTTCAATCTTTTCTCCATTTATCATGATGTTATTTACTGGTCCAGTGGTAAGAATTTGTGTTTTCCTTATATTGAGGTGCAACCCATACTGAAATTGTGTCTTTTGATCATAATTAGTAAGCATTTTAAGTCCTCTTCATTTTCAATAAGCAAGGTTGTATCATCTGCATATCACAGTTCTTAATGAGTCTTCCTGCGATGCTAATGTCATATTCTTTTTAAGATAATCCAGTTTCTCAGATTATTTGCTCAGCATACAGAATGAATTATTATGGGGAAAAAATACACTTAGCTTTCACGATTTGAAATTATTCAGTATTCTCTTATTCTGTTCGAATGACTACTTCTTGGCCTACGTACAGGTTCCACATGAGTATAGTTAGTGTTCTTCATAATATTATCCATAGCTTGTCATGATCTACCCAATCAAAAGCCTTTGTATTGTCAATAAAGCACAAGTAAACATCTTTCTGATATTCTCTGCTTTCAGCCAGCATCCATCTGACATCAGCAATGATATCCCTAGTTTCCTGTCCTCTTCTGAATATGACTTGAATTTCCAGTAGTTCCCTGTTTCTGTACTGTTGCAGCCATTTATAACTTTTTCCAGTAAAATTTTACTAGCATGTGTTATTAATGATATTGTTTGCTGATTTCTGAATTCCACTGGTTTGCCTATCTTTGGAATGGGCACTAATATTGATCTCTTCCAGTCCATTGGCCAGGAAGCTGTCTTCTAAATTTCTTGGCATAGATGAGTGAGTGCCTAAATAGACTACACTGAATGGAAAACTGTAATTAGGCTATCAGTAATGTGGACAAATTGTAGATATAAAAAAAACACAAGGCATTTAGAAGTCAGACAAATGTGGAATTTGCTATTGTTGTTGTTGTTGTTAGGTGCCATAGAGTCTGCACCAACTCATAGAGACCCTATGTACATCAGAACGAAATACTGCCCAGTCCTGGGCCAACCTCACAATTGTTGCCACGCTTGAGTCCATTGATGTTGCCACTTTGCCAATCCATCTCGATGGCAGTCTTCCTCTTTTTTTCTGACCCTCCATCCTACCAAACATGATATCCTTCTCCAGTGACTGGTCTCTCCTGACAATATGTCCGAATTGTGAGAGATGAAGTTTGGTCATCCTGGCCTCCAAGGAGCACTCTGGCTATACTTCTTCCAACACAGATATGTTTGTTCTTTGGCAGCCCGTGGCACTTTCAATATTCTCCTCCAACACCATAACTCAAAAGCATCAATTCTTCTACAGTCTTTCTTATTCACTGTCATATGCTTTCACATGCATATGAGGTTATTGAAAATACCACGGTTTGGGTCAGGCACACCTTAATCCTCAAACTGACATCTTTGCTCTTCAACACTTTAAAAATGTCTTGTGCAACAGATTTGCCTAATGCATTACCTCTTTTGATTTCTTAACTGCTGCTTCCTTGAGTGTTGATGATTGATCCAAGAAGAATAAAGTCCTTGACAACTTCAATCTTTTCTCCATTGATAAGAATGTTATTTATTGGTCCAGAGGTGAGGATTTTTGTTTTCTTTACATTGAGATGCAATGCATACCAAAGGCTTTCCTCTTTGATCTTCATCAGTAAGTATTTTAAGTCCTCTACACTTTCAGCAAGCAAGGTTGTATCATCTACATATCGCAGGTTGCTAATGAATCTTCCTCTAATCCTGATGCCACGTTTTTCTTCATATAAGCCAGCTTCTCGGATTATTTGCTCAGCATACAGTTTGAATATGTATGGTGAAAGAATACAACCCTGTCGCACACCTTTCTTAATTTTGAAACATTCAATGTTCCTATGTTCTGTTCAAACTGCTTCTTGGTCCATGTACATATTCCTCATGAGCACAATTGAGAGTTCAGGAATACTCATACTTCGCAATGTTGCCCATAGCTTGTCATGATCCACACAACTGAAAGCCTTTGTTTAGTCAATGAAGCACAGGTAAACATCTTTCTGGTATTCTCTGCTTTCAGTCAAGATCCATCTGATGTCAATAATGATATCCTTCACATCATGTCCTCTTCTGAATCTGGCTTGAACCTCTGGAAGTTCTCTGTCAATGTATACTTGTAGCCATTTCTGTATTACCTTTAGTAAAACTTTACTTGCATGAAATATCAAAGATATTCTGCATTCTGTTGAGTTACTTCTCTTTGGAATGGGCACAGACATAGATCTCTTCTAATTTGCCCAGATGGAGCTCCTCATTGTCCTTCCACTCTGTCCGCCATCTTGTTTGTTCTCCGTTTCATTTCATTTTTGACAATTTATAATTTTCCTAGATTCATACTTTGTACATGCCATGTTCCAATTATTAATGGATGTTTACAGCTGTTTCACTTCATTTTGAGTTGTGTCCCATCAGCAAATGAAGGTCCTGTGGGCTTTACTCCCAACCTGAGGGACTCATTTTCTGGCACTATATCTGACAGTGTTTCTCTGCTATTCATAAGATTTTCAGTGACTAAGTATTTGAAAGTAGTTAGTCTCTCCTTCTTCCTAGTCTGTCTTTGTCTGGAATCTCATCTGAAACCTGTCTACATTGGGTAACCCTGCTGGTATTTAAAATACCCGTGGCATAGCTTCCAGAATCACAACAACTCACAAGCCACCACAGTATGACAAACAGGCAGATGAGTGATGGCATGTGGAATTTGGGTACTGTTAATTCTGAACTAGCTCTGTGGCCCTAGGTAAATTACTTAACTACCCTAACCTCATTTTTCTCTTCTTTAAAATTTAAATAGTAATAGTTCCTACTGTATGATGTGGCTAAGTGAATTAAAAGAAATGGAAAACACTTAGCTTACTGCTTGGCATATAATAAATACTCAGCGTCCTGGTGGGAGGCTGTATGATAAACACTGGGCTGCTAACTACAAGGTTGGTGGTTCAAACAAATGAGGCACTCCTTAGAAATGCTATACAACATTGCTATGAGTTGAAACTAACTTGATGACATTTAACAACAACAGTGTTAGCTACTGCTGTAATTATTACCTGCAGAAACTCCTTTCATTGAGATATCAAAAGATAAATTGAAGCAGAATTACCAGTTTGGAGGCTGTGTCCGTATTATAAGCTATACATAATGACAAACATCCTCACAACTGGACCAATAAATAACAACACGATAAATAAAGAAAATATTGAAGTTGTCAAAGACTTCATTTTTCTTGGATCCATAATCAACACTCATGGCAGTGAAGAAAACAGATGATGGATTGTATTAGACAAATCTGCTGCAAAAGACCTCTTTAAAGTGTTAAAGAGCAAAGATGTTATTTTGAGGATTATGGTGTGCCTGACCCAAGCCATTGTATTTTAATCACCTCACACGATAGCTATTCGATGGTACCTAACAACAACAAAAACATATGATTGTGAAAATAGTACAGTGAATAAAGAACCACTGTATTTTAATTGTGGTGTTTGAGGAGAATATTGAAAGTACCACTGACTTCCAGAAGATCAAACAAATACATCTTGGAAGAAATATAGTGAGTGCTCCTTATAAGCAAGGATTGCAAGACTTCATCTCTTGTACTTTGGACATGTTGTCAGGAGGGACCAGTTCCTGGAGAAGTACATCATACTTGGTAAAGTGAAGGGGCAATGGAAAAGAAAAAAACTCTTAACAAGATGAATGACATGTTGACAGCAACAATGGATTCAAACACAATAACAATTGTGAAGATGGCAAAAGACCAGGCAGCAATTTGTTCTGTTATGCATAGGGTTGCTAGAGCGGAAACGGACTCAATGGCACCTAATAACAACAGCACAATGACAACTTGAACTATGGAGCTATATAAACACTTCAGAGGGAAAATGAACAGAGCAGTGTGATCAGTTGAATGTGAGAATGAGGGAAAGTGATCAAAGATGGTGGTCAATTCTAAACAGAGTATGTGGATGGTATTTCCATTTGGATAATTAGATAATACTGATGAAATATTAGGATTTGGAGGAAGATGACTAGTTTGATTTTAGACGTGCATGATTTGAGGCTCTCTGCATGTGAATGACGAAGTGGCAATTAGAAATATGAATTTGAATATAATGGGTAAAAATTGAACTTTGAGAGCCACTCATTTAGGAAAGGACATCCAGAGCACGTGGAAAGGAAAAAATGAAGGGGAAGAGGCTTGGACAGGTAGAGATAAGGAGTCAGACAATGATACCAGGCAAGGATTGGTGAAGATGGAGGAGTGCAGTATCTGGAAGCCAAGGGATGAATGAGAAGTAAAGCGGAAATGGCTGATACTGACAAATGCTATATAGAAGTTCCCAGGACAGCAGAAGTCACTGGATTTGAAAGCTAAAAGTCATTGGTGAATGTGGGTCTCAACTGGGAAGGAACTGCTCCCAACAGAAATTTGCCAAAATGATTTTACTTGTCATAGTGATTGGGGAGGGGACACTACTACAATTTTAGTTGTTGGAGCAGAGATATTAGACATCTTGTAATGTCTAGGGCGGTCCTACCCAGCAAATAATTGTCCCACAACCTTTACAAACTTTGTTCCACTGCTCATTCATTTAGATGAAAAACATGTTTATAATTATCTGAGTGTAGTATTAAAAAATTTAAATGTAAACCTAGAAGTTTGTTGTTGTTTTGCATAGTATTAAGATTGAATTTTCCTGGAATGTAGCTACTGTGAAAATTGAAGGAAGATTGTACTTTATTTTGTTTCAAAATTGACCACTTCCTTAACTGTAATGTCATTCGTGGAATTAGAGTAATCATTTTGTGATTCATGTGATTCTATATATGGATGCAAACATCTGACTACTTTGATATATCTTTTAGTTTACAGATATCTGCTCAGTTCCATATTATATCATATACTACTTTATTATAAATTAATGTTTCTTTTATGTTGCAGTTATACCACTACTTTGATTTACAAAATAATACATTAATAGGTAGCTCATGACTCTAACCTCTTGATAGTAACAAGAATGGTTGGTATCTTATATGTTATTCAAAGGGGACATTCAACTTGACAAGGCTCATAGCCATTTACTCACTGAGTCAGAAAAATCTTGACTGCCTGCTATGTATTAGGCAGAATTATAGGTATTTGAGATACATCCGCAAACAAAAGAAAAATGGTTATCTGTGCTTATGGAGCTCACATTCTAACGTGTGTGTATTGGGGGACTGGGTAGGAAGGAGGCAGAGGATAAGCAATAAACATGAACTAAGGAAATAGATTCTATAGTATAATGTTGTTGCTAGGTGCCTCTGAGTCAATTCTGACTCCTAGAGAGCCTATATGCACAACAGAATGAAGCACTCCCCAATCCTGTGTCATCCTCACAACCATTGCTATGCCTGAGCCTATGTCTGCTGTCAC